ATTTCCCTTGGTGACTTTTTTTCTTTAAGATGGAGTCTCACTCTTTTGCCTAGGCTAGAGTGCAGTGGCACCATCTTGGATCACTGAAAACTCTGCCTCCCAGATTCAAGCGATTCTCCTGCCTCAGCCTCCTGAGTAGCTAGGACTCCAGGTGTGCACCACCACACCCAGCTAATTTTTGCATTTTTAGTAGAGATGGGTTGGCAAGCCTGATCTCCATATAAGACTTTTTTATTAGTGTTTTATTTGCAGGATAGAAGGTTCACCACCATTCCTAAATATAAAACACAAAGGTACTATGTTCTTTTCCCCAATGACTTCCATCTTAATGCTACTTTCAGCAGCAGGAAAAACTTTTTATATACATTTAAACACTGTGGGTAATGATCCTAAAAACATTTTAGCCATGCTCTCTAACCAGTGCCTCCCCAGGGAAGAAGTGGTGAAAGTAGGGGGTAAAAATTGATTATATATTCTATAGATTAATACTGCTACAATAAAAGCAGATAACAGGAAGATAATTTTTAAATTACTAAATTAGTTGATTATTTGGCTATAGATGGGGGCAAAACATTAAACAATAATTACACACAGTAGAAATCTGAGATGAAACACATAGTGAGACCATTGAGGTTCTAAAGGGATTCCACTCAGCCAACTATGGAAGAACTTTTGTCATTATTTCTGCAACCTCATGCCTTCAAAATTGTATACCTTTCTGATGCAGTAATAAAAGAAGTTAAAAATCTTTTCTTACACTTTGTCTCTATTGTCATACATACATTGTATTAATTAGATGACTAGTAACAGTTTATATTGCAGCCAAAAAAATTAGAGGAGCTACCATAATCTAACACAGGAACAGAATTGGAACCCCAGGAATGGAGGGGATCAAATTTGCTAGGTAATTTATAGTACTAAAAAAGACAAACATATTTAGGCACACATTTTTTATGATTTAATTTTTCAACATTTTACCATTTCTGTTCTTCTGGCTCTTCTGGAACAGCAAATTATTCTACTTCTGTTTTTCTAAAAAAATGTAGGATACCATGCATAGTATAACTGCTTTCTACTAAGGAGTTAAGCTACATTCACTATTCATCATTTTATGACCCTAGAACCACTCTCTTAGAATTTTGTACAATAGAGAATGCAATAAGGATCAAATGAGATGATGCAGGCAAAAAAGTATTCATTTTCTACTTGACACAGAATGAGGTTCTCAATAATACTAAGTTACTTATCTCTCTGCTTTGGCATTCTTGCTCCAGTAGAAGTGCTTGCAATAAATCATGGTTCGGCCAGGCAAAGTGGCTCATACTAATCCTAGTACTTTTGGAAGCATGGCAGGTGAATCACCTGAGGTCAGGAGTTCCAGATCAGCCTGGCCAACATAGTGAAATGTTGTCTCTATTAAAAATACAAAAATTAGCCAGGCATAGTGGTGTGTGCTTATAATTTCAGCTACTCCAGAGGTTGAGGCAGGAGAATCACTTGAACCTGAAAGGTGAAGGCTGCAGTGAGCTGAGATCTTGCCACTGCTCTCCAGCCTGGGCAACAGAGTGAGACTTCATCCAAAAATGAAAAAAAAAAATACAATTGACAGAGGAGTGGCTAGCAAGATGGTCGAATAAGAACAGCTCCAATCTGCAGCTCCCAGTGAGATTAACAGAGAAGGTGAGTGATATCTGCATTTCCAGCTGAGGTACCTGGCTCATTTCATTGGAGTTGGTGAGAGTGTGGGTGCAGCCCATGGAGGGTGAGCTGAAGCTGGGTAGAGCATTGCCTCACCAGAGAAATGCAAGGGAATCTCCCTCCCCTAGCCAAGGGAAGCTGTGAGGGACCCTGCCATGAGGAACGGTGCATTCTGGCCCAGATACTATGCTTTTCCCACAGTACAACTCATACACCAGAAGATTTCCTCAGATGCCTACGCCACCAGGCCTTAGGTTTCAAACACAAAACTGGGTGACCATTGGGAAGACATCGAGCTAGCTGCAGGAGTTTTTTGTTTTCATACCCCAGTGGTGCCTGGAATACCAGCGAGACAGAAATCCTGACTCCCCTGAAAAACGGGCTGAAGCCACAAAGCCAATTGGTCTAGCTCAGCAGATCCCACCCCCATGGAGCCCAGCACACTAAGATTCACTTTCTTGAAATTCTCATTGCCAGTACAGCAGTCTGAAGTCGACCTGGGACACTCAAGCTTGGTCAGAGGAGGGCGTCCACCATTACTGAGGGATGAGTAGGTGGGTTTCCCCTCACACTATAAACAACCACCAGGAAGTTCAAACTGGGTGGAGCCCACCACAGCTCCGCAAGGCCACTGTAGCCAGACTGCCTCTCTAAATTCCTCTTCTCTGGGCAGGGCATCACTGAAAGAAAGGCAGCATCCCCGGTAAGGGCTTATAGATAAAACTCCCATCTCCCGGAAACAGAACATGTTGGGGAAGGGGCACCTGTAGGCTCAACTTCAGTGAACTTAAAGATTCCTGCCTGCCAGGCTTTGCAGAGAGCAGCGGATCACCCAGCACAGCATGCAAACTCTGCTAAGGAACGGATTGCCTCCTCAAGTAGGTCCCTGACGCCTGTGCCTCCTGACTAGGTGACACCTCCCAACAGGAGTCAACAGACACCTCATACACGACAGCTCCAGGTGGCATCTAGCAGGTGCCCCTCTGGGATGAAGTTTCCAGAGGAAGAAACAGGCAGCAATCTTTGCTGCTCTACAGTCTCCACTGGTGATCCCAAGGCAAACAGAGTCTGGGGTGGACCTCCAACAACTCCAGCAAACCTGCAGCAAAGGAGCCTGACAGAAGGAAAACTAGCAAACAGAAATGAAGTATCAACATGAACAAAAAGGATAGCTACACAGAAACCCCACACAAAGGTCACTAACATCAAAGACCAAACATAGATAAATCTACACAGATAAGTAAAGACCAGTGCAAAAAGGCAAAAATCACAAGTATTCCTATGCACCAATAATAGAAAGCCAAATCATGAGTAAACTCCCAATCACAATTGCTACAAAGAGAATAAAATACCTAGGTATACAACTAACAAGGAATGTGAAGGACCTTTTCAAGGAGAACTACAAACCACTGCTCAAGGAAATAAGAGAGGACACAAACAGATGGAAAAACATTCCATGCTCATGGTTAGGAAGAATCAATATTGTAAAAATGGCCATACTGCCCAAAGTAATTTACAGACTCAAGGCTATCGCCATCAAGCTACCATTGACTTTCCTCACAGAATCGGAAAAAGTCACTTTAAACTTCATATGGAACCAAAAGAGAGCCCACATAGCAAAGAAAATCCTAAGGAAAAAAAAAAAAAAGCTGAGGGCATCATGCTACCTGACTTCAAACTACACTACAAGGTTATAGTAATCAAAACAGCATGGTACTAGTATCATAACAGAGATACAGACCAATGGAACAGAACAGAAGCCTCAGAAGTAACACCACATATCTACAATCATCCGATCTTTGACAAACCTGACAAAAACAGGCAATGAGGAAAGGATTCCCTATTTAATAAATGGTGTTGGTAAAACTGACTAGCTATGTGCAGAAAGCTGAAACTGGATCCCTTCCTTACACCTTATATAAAAATTGACTCCAGATGGATTGAAGATTTAAAATAAGACCTAACACCATAAAAACCCTAGAAAAAACAAAGGCAATACCATTCAGGACATAGGCATAGGCAAGGACTTCATGACTAAAACAACAAAAGCAATGGCAACAAAAGCCAAAATAGACAAATGGGATCTAATTAAACTTAAGAACTTCTGCACAACAAAAGCAACTATCATTAGAGCAAACCAGCAACCAACAGAATGGGAAAAAAATTTTGCCATCTACCCATCTGACAAAGAGCTAATAACCATAATCTACAAAGAAATTGAACAAATTTACAAGAAAAAAACAAAAAGTGGGCAAAGGAAATGAGTAGATGCATTTCAAAAGAAAACATTTATACAGCCAACAAACACATGAATAAAAGCTCGTCGTCACTGGACACCAGAGAAATGTAAATCAAAACCACATTCAGATACCATCTCATACAAGTTAGAATGGTGATCATTAAAGAATCAGGAGACAACAGATGCTGGAGAGGATGTGGAAAAACAGGAACACTTTTACACTCTTGGTGGAAGTGTACATTAGTTCAAACATTGTGGAAGAGTGAGGCAATTTCTCAAGGATGTAAAACTAGAAATACCATTTGGCACAGCAATCCCATTGGTATATCCCATTAGAATCTCATTAGAATGATCACCATTCTAACTTGTGTGAGATGGTATCTGAATGTGGTTTTGATTTACATGCTCAAGGAAATAAGAGAGGACACAAACAGATGGAAAAACATTCCATGCTCATGTATAGGAAGAATCAGTATCATAAAAATGGCCATACTTCCATAAGTAATTTAGATTTAGATTCAATATTATCCCATCAAGCTACCATTGACTTTCTTCAGAGAATTAGAAGAAAACTACTTTAAATTTCATATGGAACCAAAAAAGAGCCCATATAGCCATGACAATTGTAGGCAAAAATAACAAAGCTGGAGGCATTATGCTACCTGACTTCAAACTATACTACAAAGCTACAGTAACTAAAACAGGATAGTACTAGTACTAAAACAGAGATATATATATATACCAATGGAACAGAACAGAGGCCTCAGAAATAACATCACACATTGTGGGGACTCGGTCAGAGTGGTGGGAAAAACTATAGGGAAAAGACACAAACTTTCTGAAAGGTCTGAAGGTTCTACAGAGCCCCTGAGGAGCTGAAGGCAGCTATTCAATAACCCTGAGGCAGAGGAGTAGGTATAAGGGAGTGTGGGGGAATTTATGTTCAACAGACTTGTTTAGTTATGTTGACCAGAAACTGACCTTTAATCATCTGTGCACGTGACATTCCCTGAACAGGGAACAATAAATGTTAATCATCTACAGGTTGTGTTGGCTCCAGGTTTTCAGCATTGTGCCTGTAATGAATAAAAGCAAGCAGCTCCAGCTTTTCAGGGCTGCTATCTGGCCACTAGAGCCCAGAGTCATCTGGCTGCTCTTACACTGCATACCTGTGTCTGAGTACTCATTTCATCTGTTGGCCTGGGTCTGTGGGACAGACTCGGCAGGTGGTGACCCATGTGAAGAACACTGCCATGGATCCCGATGGAAGCCTCGAAAATGAAAGCGAAGTGACTACGCAGTAAGTAATTGATGCCCACTGGAGATTTTCAAGTTCAAGGGGAGTTTTAAGCTAGGGTTTCACCATGGGACAACAGTTATTGGCCCGAAAGCAACAGTATATAAAAGTATTCAAACAGCTGCTTCAAGCTAGCAAAGTGTACATCTCAGAGGCCCAATTAAGGGCCCAATGCAAACTGTTGTTTTCCATAACCCAGGGTTCCTGGAAGAAGACACGCTTCTAGAGGTCTAGGAACAAGTAGGAAGAAATGTTAAACGACATCATGTGCAAGGGCAACATGTCCTAGTAACATCTTTAACATTATGGGCCTTAGTTAGGGCTGCTTTGGCACTGTCTACACAGAAGAGCTTAAAAAGAGAAGGGAGCAAGAACCATCATCCACCCTACTGCCTCCTCCTCCTCCCTCAGCCTCACCGTTACCAGGTAAAGGTGCCACAGAGGAGACACAGATTTTCCCTGAGCCCCCTCCCCAGTTAAATTGGAAAAAAGACAAGGGATACACTACAGTTATGGGACCCTGTTTTAGTCAAACAGCATTAGAAGGGGAGTTCTTGGCCTGCCTGGTGATGCAAGATCAACAAGAAAATTGGATATATGAACCCATTATTTTCAACTTATAAACAAGAAAAAACATTAGAGAAACAGAGCTGCTAACCCATTTACAAAAGGATTAACTGAGGCCATACCAGACAACTTCCATATGACCCCATGGGACTGGTCAGTGCTAGCTAAAACAACTCTCGTGGCCAGTCAATACTTCCTCTGGAGGGCAGAATATGATGACTTGTGCGAACAACAAGCCAACCAGAATCAACTGGCCAGGCAAAACATAGCTGCTGCTATGCTCCAGGGGAGGGGTCCCTATATCGATGTATAACAGCAATTAAATTTTATCCCCCAAGCCTATGTACAAATGTCCTTATGTGCTCACAGGGCTTGTGCCAGATCCCCAAAGCAGGAGTTTAACAGGGCTTTTTTGTAAATGGTCGATAAGGGCTTTGGGAGCCATTTGTTGAATTTACCAATAGGTTAACCCAGGCAATTAAGAGACAAATTAGTCATGCCCAGGCCACTGTTATCTTACTGTTGTAATTGGCTTATGAAAATGCTACAGTACACTATCAGCAGGCAACGCAGGCAATCAGAGAAAGGCAGCTACAGTCGAGAAACTTACATGAGCACGTCAGCTGGTAGGGACTGAAACACACAAAGCCAGAATATTGGCTATGGCATTAAAGCCTCCAAAAATAAAAAGGGAAAAACCCAAATTGTTTTCTATGCAGAGAGCCAGGTCATATGAAGCAGGAATGCCCAAATAGTAAAGACCAAAGGAACTCAGGAAAAGAACACCCCTCTATCTGCCCTCAGTGTATAAAGAAAAATTGAGGAAATAGAGCAAGCTATTTCTCAGAAGCAAGTAGATTGCACAGACCCACAATATTCAGTCCAATTATCTGTATTACCTACTAAACATTCCCCAACAGGATTAATAGGACAGATGGCCCCAGAGCTACACTTACCTAATCAGTTATGGCAAACAGATATTACCCACAGCCCTGAATTTGGAAAACTAAGATATGTACATGTATCCATTGATACCAATTCTCACCTAATTAGCACTCATGCTCTTTCTAGACAGTCTGCCTGATATGGTATTAGACATTTTCTCTTAACCTTTGCATTTATGGGGCAGCCCACAAAGATTAAACCTGGTAATGGTCCAGCTTACGCCAACTCACAATTTCAACAATTTTGTCACACATGGAATGGCCAAAATTCCAGGGGTATACCATATAACCCCCAAGGCCATAGCAGAACGTATCCACTCCACCCTTAAAAATATGTTCAGAAAGGGCTGGGCACGGTGGCTCAAGCCTGTAATCCCAGCACTTTGGGAGGCCGAGGCGGGTGGATCACGAGGTCAAGAGATCGAGACCATCCTGGTCAACATGGTGAAACCCTGTCTCTACTAAAAATACAAAAAATTAGCTGGGCATGGTGGCACATGCCTGTAATCCCAGCTACTTGGGAGAATGAGGCAGGAGAATTGCCTGAACCCAGGAGGTGGAGGTTCTGGGGAGCCGCGATCGTGCCATTGCACTCCAGCCTGGGTAACAGGAGCAAAACTCCATCTCAAAAAAAAAAAAAAGAAAATGTTCAGAAAACAAAAAATGGGGAATATGAGAAAGGACCCTGCAACACTATTAGCACAAGGCTAATTTAACCCTAATTTCTTAAACTTAGATGATAAATTTCAATCAGCTCTAGAAAAGCAACTGGAAAAATCACTCAAGATACAAAACCTTCAGTTTTATGGAAAGATATAAATAGTAATATATGGTGTGATCCAAATGATTTGCTAACATGGGGAAGAGGTTATGCTTGTGTTCACACCCTCTCAGGTCCTCTTTGGATTCTAGCACAACTGCATCAAACCTCATCATGGTGTGGCTAGGACCCAACCTAGTACCAGAAATGAAGAAAATGGCCCGTAGGACCTGCAGCCCTGAACGATGTGACTTCCTCAAATGACACAGGCTCCAGATATTACCTGGGGGATGCTGAAGAAGACAACTCAGGAGGCTGGGTGAATCCTTCTCCAGACACAAACACCATTCACTCCAGAATATTTGTTTCTTGCTATGCTGTCTGTTGTACACTGCAATTTTGTAGTGTATTAATCTTTTTTATTCTCTCACTTTGCTTGCTAACTGTACCTGCTACACTCTATTGGGACCATCTTCTAGGTCCGCCTTTTTTCGTCTTGTTACTTGAGCAGACACCCCCTTCCCAGCCTCTAACAATGTGACCGATTGGCTGGGAGAGATTGACATACCCTTGCTGCGGACCCTCAGTAATGGCACACATTGGACTGAGATGCCAAGTAATACTACATATCACTCATTGATTGGAAAAGAATAGTACTGATTACACTCATGTTTATGTTATTTACTGGTTCTAGGATGCAAAGCTGGAACATGAGTTGGAATGGCTACACCAACCAAACTGGTCACTGTGGATATCTGCACACTTCAATCAACAAAACCTGATGCAAAAATAAATAAATAAAAACAAAAAAGGGGAAGATGTGGGAGATCGGTCAGAGTGGTGGGAAAAACTACAAGGAAAGAGAGCAAACCTTCTGGAAGGTAGGAAGATTCTGCAGATCCCTGCGGGAGAATAGCTGAAGGCAGCTGTTCTATAACCATTGCATTTATGGGCAGCCCACAAAGATTAAAAATGATAATGGTCCAGCTTACACCAGCTTCTGATTTCAACAATTCTGTCACACATGGAATGTCCAGCATTCCATGTCCAACATTCCCTGAGGCAGAGGGCGAGGAGTAGGTATAAGGGAGTATGGCAGAATTTATCTAAAAACAGACTTGTTTACTTATGTTGACCAGGAACTGACCTTTGATCATCCACACACATAACTTTCCCTGAAAGGGGAACAATAAATGTTAATTACCTACAGGTTGTATTGGCTCCAGGTTTTCTGCATTGTACCTGCACTGAATAAAAGCAATGAGCTCCAGCTTCACCAGGTTGCTCTCTAGTCACTAGAACCAGTCAGTCACCTAGCTGTTCTTACACTGCATACCTGTGTTTGAGTACTCATTTCATCTGTTAGCCAGGGTCTTTGAAACAGACCTTGCAACACTTCTACAACCAGCTGATCTTTGACAAACCTTCCAAAAGCAAGCAATGGGGAAAGGATTCCCTAGCTAATAAATGGTGTTGGGTAAACTAGCTGGCCACATGCAGAAAACTGAAACTGGATCCCTTCCTCACAACTTATACAAAAATTAACTCAAGATGAATTAAAGACTTAAATCTAAGACCTAAAACCATAAAAACCATAGAAGAAAACCTAGGCAATACCATTCAGGACATAGGCATGGGCAGGCATTATGACTAAAACACCAAAAACAAGTTGCAACAAAAACCAAAACTGATAAATATGATCTAATTAAACTAAAGAGCTTCTGCACAAGAAAAGAAACTATCATCAGAGTGAAAAGACATCCTACAGAATGGAAGAAAATTTCTGCAATCTACCCATCAGACAAAGGGCTAATATCCAAAATCTACAAAGAACTTAAACAAATTTACAAGAAAAAAAACAAACCACAAAAACAACCACACCAAAAAGTAGGCGAGGAATATGAACAGACACTTCTCAAAAGAAGACATTTATGTGGCCAACAAATATATGAAAAAAAAATCTCATCACTGGTCACTAGAGAAATGTAAATCAAAACCACAATGAGATACCATCTCATGCCAGTTAGAATGGCAATCCTTAACAAGTCAGGAAACAACAGATTCTGGAGAAATAGAAATGCTTTGACTCTGCTGGTAGAAGTGTAAATTAGTTCAACCATTGTGGAAGGCAGTGTGGTGATTACTCAAGAACATAGAACTAGAAATACCATTTGACCCAGCAATCCCATTACCAGGTATATACCCAAAGGATTATAAATGATTCTGTTATAAAGACACATGCACACATGTTTACTGTGGCTCTATTCACAATAGCAAAGACTTGGAACCAACCCAAATGCCCATCAATGACAGACTGGATAAAGAAAATGTGGGACATATACACCATGGAATACTATGTGACCACATAAAAGGATGAGATAATGTCCTTTGCAGGGACATGGATGAATCTGGATACCATCATTCTCAGCAGACTGACACAATTAAAGAAAACCAAACACCTCACGTTCTCACTCATAAGTGGGAGTTGAACAATGAGGACACATGGGCACAGGGAGGGGAACATCACATACCGGGGCCTGTTGGGGGATGAAGGATTAGGTGAGGGATAACATTAGGAGAAATACCTAATGTAGGTGACTGCCTGATGGATACAGCAAATCACCATGGCACATGTATACCTATGTAAGAAAACTGCACGTTCTGCACATGTATCCCAGAACTTAAAGTATAATTTTAAAAAAAGACTTCCTAAAAAAAAGGATATGTAAAGTATTTTTTTTAAAGCCAGTGTTTCTAAAAACAAAACCAAAAAAAATCACATACTTGAAAGTTTCAAATATGCCTATCAAGTTGTTTATATCTCTTCTCCGCACTATCCCGTTGTAATTTACACACTTGTGCAAGTTAAAGGATGAAAAGGAGGAGAATGCATATCTCAGAGAGGAGGAGCTGCATGAGAAGACGGACCTGGGAAATCACTGGCATGGGCCTGCCCTCTTTGAGGCATTTCCATCCCTCTTTACGGTAATAGAGGGCTTTGTGAATTCTCAAACACTATCTCTAGCAGTGGTACCATAAAAACTTTTTATCAACAGTAAATGTCTATCAAGTTTTAGCCTTGATAGCTACACACAGTTTACTTATCATCTTTGTTTCACCACGGTCATCTCTTATACTCCAGTTGTCTCTACAAGCATATGTTTGATCCTTGTGAAATACAAAATGAAGAGTTTGCTCGATCATTAAAATAATTTTCGTTAGTGACTTCCCTGTTTAAAAAGGCAGTTGTTCCTGAATGTGCTGATATTATGCAATCTCCACAATATGGTATTTAATGAAAAAAGACATAATAATCTATTGTATATGCCCTCATGTGCATACAAATGGGGTATATGTGTATCTATGTATACACATTTGGATATCTATCTTCTTGGCCACACACAGATTATCTTTTTGAAGGATTCAGGAGAAATTGATGGTGATCACCTTTGAGTAAGGCTTAAAGCTCTGAGAATGAGGTTCATTTTTCCAACATGCCATTTATTCTATTTGAATTTGTGACAATATAAATGAATTATTTTCCCATTAATAAAAAGGTAGTTAAGAATAAAACATATGTCATTACTTTAGTTGAGATATGAGTATTTTTTAAACCAATCAGAAATTTACACTAATTATTTTAAATTATTTTTAGGTAGCACCACTAATACAATGGGAATTCATAACAAATATTACCCTTTGTTTTGTCACTTTGTAAAGGTGTACATATTTTACTTAAAAATGTTTACAGTTATATAATAGACAGAATTCTATAGGCCATGTTTTTTAACATTTACTTTGCCTTGCTGTATTTTTACCTCTTCTATTCCCCTTTATTTCCCACATTAACCTCTTCCAACCTTCCAAAATATTCTCCATGCTCAAAGATTCATGTTAAACACCCATACACATAAAGGTGAAATATTTGGAGTAGTTTTAAAAGAGAAGGAATCATGCCATGGGCTTTTCTCTGCAACTTGCTTTTCTTACAGTATATTCTGAAAGTCCCTTCAAGTCAATTAGTGTACTGCTGACTCATTCTTTTTAATCTGTGTATAATATTCCATAGCATTAATATATCACAGTTTAATCAACCATTCTTAAGTTAGTGGCCATTAAGGTCATTATCATATTTAGCCACCACAAACCATGTTGTAATAAGTATTCTAATCCTAGTGTGATAAACTGGTGCTGATATTCCTTAGAATAGATCTATAGGTGGGAAAGTGCTGGGTCAGAAGATAGGCATGCTTGAAATTTAACAGATACCACCAAAGTATATTCTAAAATATGAATCATAATATATATTGATACATACCAGTGACTTTTTCTTGACATACTTACCAGGTATAGCTGTTTAAATTACTTTTACTTTTAATTCACACAATATTTTTAAAGTATGGTATTATTATTTTAATTCTTAGTTATTTTTATTATTGATGAATGAATGTTGATTCATCATTCTATTTGCCACATAATTTGTCTCTTCTGTGACTTTTCCATGAATTTCCTTCATTCAGTTTCCAACCTGGTTGTTTTACTTTTGTTATTATTTATAGGAAGATTTTGTTTGCCCAGTTTTATTGCAAATCACAACACAGAACAAAAAAGTTGAAAATTCACCAAATAAAGATTAACTCTCAAAAAGATCCCAGCAAGCCTAGAGTCTGTAATTCCAATCCTTACTTTGTTAAAAACAGCGGGAAGGAAAATGTGACTGGATTATTATTGTCAAACAGATGTTAGATTATTGATATAAAATTTCTAGATATCTGTAAAATTATTCTAAATTCTCCTTAATGCCTTATATTCTGTTTAATGCAGCAGCGTCCTACTACATGACACATTTTATTACAAACTTTAACCCTATACAGGCTATTTATTGGGTACCATAAGCCTGTAAGACCAATGTTGCAAACGGTTTCCTCCACAGGCCAAGCTGGTCTTCTCCTTTAATGACCTATGAATCAACAGTTTTTCCAATAATTTGGAGGATGATACTGGCTTACATCTTTCTTTTGCTTGTGCAAGAATATTCTGCCTCTAATCTGTTTTTCTGTTTTTCTTCTTTAACACACTTCCGGTTCTATAGTGAGCATATATAGGCACATCTAAAGCCAGTGGATACCAGTAATGGGCATGACAAGGCTGTGCATGAATTTTCATGAGGAACATTAAGAGATTCCTCAGCTATAGACCAGTCTCCAGAGTCTAATTTCAATCAACATTTACACTCTGGGCTCCAAAAAAAAATTCAGCAATTTTTTTTTCATATACTTTCCTACTTCTAACCTTTGCTTAATATCTTCCAACTAGTATATTCTTTCTTTACATTTCCATATGCCTCAATTTTACAGATTTTATCAAGACCAATGTGGTAGATGATTTCCAAAGATAGCCACCAACAATTCTTCCCACAACTATATACACATGCTACTTTCCCCTCCTTTTGAATATGATCCACTCTTGTGATTTGCTTTAACCATCAGAATGTGGCAGGGGTAACACTTTGCCACGGCTGGGCCTAGACTTTGCTGGGCCTGCAGCTTCTACTTTCACCCTCTTTGAAACCAGCAACCATGTAGAGAAGTCTGATCATCCTCCTAGAAAAACAGCCTCTGGATGATGAGAGAACATGAAGGGCAACAACAAATGGACCAGCCAACCCAGGTACGATACCAGACATGTGAGCCAAGACATCTCAGATCCTCCAGTTTTAGTCAAATGATCCTAATAAGCACGACATGAAGCAGAGATAAGCTACCCCTATTTAGCCTTACTAAAATTGCAGAATTATGAGCAAATTAATGGTGGTTGTTGTTAGACCCTTAAGTTTTAGGCATGGTATTCTCATATGGATGTGATGTGAACTCTACCCCTCTGTGAAATCTGATGGCATTTTATTTCTCATTTTTTTGTGGCACATCACTTTCTACACTGTATCAAATAAAATCTCTCTCAGACTGAACTCTGTGTAAGATTCTTGAGAGTAATTTACTATGTTATATTTACTTTGCATTTCCAAACTAGGGCAATATTTTCTTGTATGGGACTCAACAAACACATTTATACATGAGTGACTGTATGTGTGTGTTCATATCTGCTATTCACACATATGAACTCTACACAATAAAATTAAGTAGGAAAGATTCCCTCCTCACCTAAAGGAATCAATGTTTTCTTTAGAACCTAAGGATAATACTATATCAGTTAGATCAGCCCAAGGTTGATACTGAGGTATTCTTAACAGTATCGGTGTTTTCTGGTAACAGCTTGAAATACTGAGATAAAATTAACCATTAGAATGCATTTGTTTTGTGTGTACCTTCCTGCAGGTAAATTTTAAAGTTGAGTCACCATCCTAAGGTCCATTTTCCAGTTTTTTACACATGCTTTATCATTTTCCTGTGGATTTTTCAAGTGTTTCATGGTGAAATAGATGCTTTTCTTCCAAAAATATTCATTCACAACACTGATCACAGTAGCTCATGGTGGCTCCCAGGAAAGGTTTAGTATACCCGACAGCATGTCATTGGCCTTAAGGCATACAGACTAGACAGTAGTGAGGAAACAAGCAAAATATGGAGCAAACATCAGCAGCAAGGACACATCCAGCACAAAGTCCCAATGTAGTCTGTGGGCACCTGTCAGTAACAACGAGTCAAAAATAAAAAAGAGCTGGCGCATAGCTTGGGGAATGTGATCAGAGGAGAAATGCACAGAGCCACAGAGAATGTGGCATTAACTGAGTATGTTGGTTACAAGTGAGGGGAGAGAGGTGGAAAGCAGATGCAAAGAGTTCTCAGGCTCCTTTAAGTGAGGGCAGGTCAACACAGCCTACGTGGGTCACAGACCTCTATTTTTCATAAATGCCAAGGATTCTAGGTGGTGGGATAATTGACAGCCTGCTCTCCTCTCTGAAAAAAGGAGTAAGAAGTCAGAAATGGAGCAAACTAGATTTTTAGGAGTACCTCTAAAATGGCAAGTTTTGGCAACTCCAGGATCTCTCAGCCTTTCTAGCATGGAAGAGGAGAACAATATTCTTGAATATCATATATGTAATGATAGTTATCACTTATTCCTGACTATCAACCCAATAAGGTAGATCGCATACGTAAAGATAATATATAGCCACCACTTATTACTATTATATCAACCCAGTAAGGTAGACACTATTTTCTAGATAAGGAAACTGAGGTTATGAAAAGAGGAGTTACTAGCCCAGGATTCGAACATAGGTCTACTGGCACAAAGCCCAGGCCCACCCTGCCTATCCCTGCCTCTATCCCTGCCTACCCCACTTTGGAGAACTACAGGTGCTCCCCAAGATCAGGTTCCAGGTGTTGGAACAGTAAAGCCTACAGACGGAGGGGCCTGAGACTAACAGAGTTTTGTTAAACTTAGCACAGAAACTGACACCTTTGTCAATATGGTATATTTATTCCAGAACAGCCTGAGAGGTATCACGCCCAAAACAATGTACTCTGGATTTAAGGGAGGAGGGGCAAAACTGTTAACACTGTGGATTCAAAAGACATCTTCCAAAGAAACAGGCTTATTGAAAAAGACACAAATGCATACACACCTACGAACTGCTTTTTATACTTCATTAAGACTAGTAGTGGGTAGATAACTAGAAATTATTCTTCATGTTCCAGAGCAGGAGGAAACTGAAAGAACTTGTTCAATGAACACAAATGCTCCTTGTGTTCAGCAAACCGTCAATTTTCAAATTCCTGTTTTGGATTTCGCTTGAAATAACATGGATGAATGTCTTTAAAATATATATGTTCTTTCTCCAATAGGCATGATATGGCATCCTGAGCCTTCAAAAAGTACTTCAAAAATGAAGTACTCATCTTGATTTTTTTAGACATATTCCTGCTCCTTTAGGAACCAACTTTATAGTAACTTCTTTCAGTATTCAAAAGGTTGAGCTTTGCAACGAGATAACCCTGAGTTCTAATCATGACTGCCAGCACTAGCATTGAGAAATCTCCTTAACTACGTTCTCTGAGAATTGATGTCCCTGTATTTTAAAAGGGGCTAATAATACTGATAGTGTTTAGATCTGTGTCTTCACCCAAGTCTCATATTGAAACGTAATCCCCAATGCTGGAGGCGGGGCCTGGTGGGAGGTGATTGGATTATGGGAACGGATTTCCCCATTGTTGCTGTTTCTGTGATAGTGATTGAGTTCTCGTAAGATCTGATTATTTAAAAGTGTGTAGCATCTCCCCTCTTTCTCTCTCCTTCTCCTTCTCTAGCCAGGTGAAGTGCTGGCTCCCCCTTTCCCTTCCACCATGATTATGTTTCCTCAGGCCTCCCTAGAAGCCAAGCAGACGGCCAGCATCATGCTTTCTGTACGGTCTGCAGAACTGTGAGCCAATTAAACCTCTTCTCCTTATGAATCACCCAGTCTGAGGTATTTCTTTATAGCAGTACAAGAGCAGACTAAAACAGATACCAATCTCATATACGTGTCCTGCCAGCACTCCTCCTACAGCAGTTACTCCTATTACTGCCATTATTGCTCCAACAAGAACAACCATAGAATGCACTATATATTCAGT